AGTTGGGGATGGGCACGAGTGGGGTTTGGGGAAGAGCGTTGGGAGTGGGGATTGCGGGAGTGAGTCCGGCTTTTGTGTGCTTTTTGTTGTTGAAGGTTAGTGGGGTACCGTTGAGTGAGGGGAAGGTATGTTGATCATTTATTTTGTTGTTTGTTTTTGGTTGTGTGGTGTGGTGTTGTTGAATGTGATGTGCATATGGTGGAAAGGGAGACTGGGGGAGAAGATAATGAGATCTTACCTGCTTGCTCAGGTGAAAGAACCTTTTGATGCGGGAAACGCATCTCTCTCCTTGTCTATCCTTTTGAAGTACAAGGGAAACGAGTCACGTCTTGGAATACTCGCTAGCGCAAGTACCATGCCTAGAGCTTCATTCAGAAGATTCCATCTCAGATAGAAAAGCCCCTCGATCCCATTCAGAGACTAGAACCGCTACCATCTCAAATATCTGAAGTCCTCAATATGGTAGACTCAGAAAGAGCAAATTGATAAAGGAGAAGAAGATAAACCTTGCAAGAAGAGAGAGAACAAGAAAAGAAAAGAATTGAATTGAAAACTAACTCGCACCCCTTCCAAAAATATAGTATGATAAGAAATACGGTCATCGAAAAGATTACAAGGAGTGGAAGGAGAATACTCCGATGTTTATTCCGAAGTTTTAGGGGGTTGTGGGATGGATGAGTAGATGGATGGATAGATACATATGTTGGGGGGTTTTGATGGGGTTATGATGGGGATATGCTCTAGTATTCTATACTATGCCTGGAAACTTGATGGGTAGAGGGAAGGGGGTGGAGAGAAAAGGAAAGGAAGATAGGGAGATAAGGAATGGGATGGATGGGGTGGGAAGAGCTGAGGGGATATTGAATCGATGCTTGTAGTAGAGATGAAGATGAAGATGAAGATGGCGGAAGTTTGGAAGTAGATGTTTTGAAAAGTATGGTTTCTATGACTAGGAAATGGAAGAGATGGGACTGAAAGGAGAAGGGGAGATTTAGCCTTAGGTTTATATGATATTAATCCACTCAATCACTCGCTCAATCACTCACTCACTCACATCTCTATCAAAAAAATAAGAACACCATCTCATATTATCCCATCCAATCAAGCCCTATCTAATGAAAACAAAAAAAAATGAAAAAAAGTCAAACGCATCAAAGTGTATCAATCATATTTTCATTTTCATAATCATTCGTTAAAAGTATGCTTTGCTTGCCTGCCTGCCTTCCACCCATCCATCTCCTTCCCTCTCTCATTTCAAACCGTCCTCCCCCTTCCCTAACACACATAAATAAATAAAAAAGAGCAATCAAATACAATCCATTGAGAAACACACGCAACCAAAGAGGAGGAACCAAAAAAAAAGAGTAAAAGAAAAGGAAAACACAAGAAAAATAAACCAACTAAGCCCATCCATCCATCCATACATCCATCCAGCATTCCCATCCATTCTTTCCATCCCTCCAGCGAGAAAATCTTGGGTATTTATCTATCTATCCATCCATATCCATGCCAATAAACACGCAGTAGCTTTATTCTAGACGAAGAAAGGGTGATGAATATGAGGTATGTATGTATGTAGGTAAGATAACAAGAATGAGCCAGGAATAGATAGAAGACACTTCCCACTCATCCCCACAGTTAGAGGCCGAATCGATCAATCGAAAAGAAATTAATAAAAAACAGGAAGAAATGAAGAAATGCAACAGCGCTATGTGAGGAGGGAGTCGATGCTAGGTGCAAGCAAGTACAAGCGCAAATGTCATTATGTAGCAGCCGTAACGTCGTATTTTATTTCATCTGTCGTTCGTTTCGTCGGTTCATTTCATCATATTCGTAGAGAGTTGGATTTCTTTTTTTCTTCTTTCCGCTTTCTCTTCTCGTCTTCGTCTGCGATTCCTCTGTGCAATTTCGATTCTTTCAATCGACCGGCTCACATTGATAATTCAATCCTAGCGGTAGGAAAAGAACTACCAACGTCTGCTAGGTCTCTCGCGTCTTCTATGATCATCCCAGATGATTTCTCTCTCGATGATTCGCTCATCATCGTAGCCGCTATCTCTCTCTCTTCTTCGCTCTGCTCGCTCCCAATCATCGCGTTCTTTCTCACGACGTTCAATGCGAATGCGTTCACGTTCGATTTCACGGATGCGATCTTGTCTTTCGCGGCGGACGGTTTCGGAGAGGGCAACGAGTTCCTCGACATCTTGCTAGAGGGTTGTTAGTATGTTCTCCGAGGAATGTAAGAGTCAGACAGGGAGAAAACTTACGTATCTGAGATATTGAAGAATGTAATAGAAGAATTCTGTTTCTTCGTAATCATAGCCAAGTTCCTCGATAGCCTCCTTAGCTACCAAGTCCTTGGTGATTTCAGTCCACAAATCACCCATTCTACTTTTTGGTGGACCACGAGGTAATGGGAAGCCAACTTGACGATCAGAGCTTTCCTCGATACGTTCGTATTCTCTCTCTCTCTCGTATGTTGGTCCACTGGCATGGCTTCGTGGTTTACGACTGCTAGAGTTAGAGATATCGATGTCAATAGTGGTTGACGATTCGCGTGGAGAAGGTGCAGCACTTTGACGCTCACGAATCTCGATATGCTCAGTTGTACGATTAGGACCTTCTCGCTCACGTTCACGGATCTCAATTCTCTTCTCGACACGTTCAGGTTCTTCTCTCTTGTGCTCACGCTCAGGATTGAACTTGCTTCGTCGTACACCATTGTATCTCTGCCAAGTGATTTCTTGACTTCCACCCCCGACACCATCTAGTTGGATCCTCTCCGTTCCAGGAGGAACATCGATGATTGACCAATCTTTTGTGGCGCCGTTAAATGCTTCACCAATGACGGCTCTTTCTTGCACCTTACGGGCATAGAAATCGGCTTCATCTTCATCCCGGATATCGAGATTTACTCTCTCCTTATCAGGACGAGCACTCAAACTTCTTCTTCTGCTGAGATCGATACGGGTATCTCTAACACGTAGCTTGTCACGCTCTTGCTCATATAAGATGGAATCATCATAATATTCTCTTCGTGGAGGAGGCGATTTAGGCTTTTCGCGACCACTGGTTTTGGTTTTTGTGATATCAACTTCAGTATTGTTACCGGAACGATAGATGTCGATCTCAGTCTTTTCGGTTTTTGGTGGTGGTGCAGGGGTGTGGGCACGACGGGGAGGTGGGGGTGGACTTGGAGCTGGAGCTCTTTCGAAACCTTATTTATTAGTTAGTAAGGGTAAACTATAATTATCGTGGGATTGCTAGCTGAACTTACCGTGATCGATATGACGATGATGTGTAATAATTTCTCGGTGAATGGGTGGTGCTCGAATAATCTCTGGTGGTGGGGTTGGTGGGGGAGATGGTGATGGAGAAGGTTCTCTTTCTCTCTCTCTTTCAACAATTCGGGTGTGAATTCTCTCAACTTGTGGTGGTGGGGAAGGGGTTCTCTCTCTTTCTCTTTCACGCTCAATAATTCTCTCACGAATGCGAACTGGAGAAGGTGCTGGAGGAGATGGTGAACGCTCTCTGAATCTTTGTCTTGTCTCTATAACTCGTGCGCGAAGTTGTGGTGGGGGTGATGGAGATCTTGGAGTTTCCTTTTCTCTTTCAACAATTCTTGTTCGGATTCTCTCAGCTGGTGGAGAAGGCTCCCGTACTCCAACCTCACTTCTTACAATTCTCTCACGAAATCGTGGAGGAGAAGGAGATCTTGCTCGTCGCACAAGTGGTCCGTCATTGAATGTTTCTCTTTCGCGTTCTCTGACGACCATTTGACCTGGCTCGGATCGCGTGTAATCATCTCGTAAGAAATCCAATGAACGTCTTCGAGGTCTCTCTGGACCTCTTCTGGTGCTGAAGTCAATAGTCTCTTCATGATCACGCTCTCTTACTCGAACTTGAGCTGGTGGTGGAGCTGTCCCTCGATAATAAGTATCACGCTCATCAAATTCCGTCACTCGAGACGGAGCGCCATGTCGAGACATGTTTGGTGGCTTGTCTTGTTGATTGTAGGGACGATATGCTTATTGAAAAGCGTTTGTTTGTATTCGAAAGGGTGTAGTATTTTTTTAATGATGTCGGGAATACAATAACGTAGGTGCAATATGAATCACTTAGGTATCTCCCCACAGAGTAGATGGGGTACGTGTTTGGTAGACGTGAGACCGAATGAGCCAAGTGAGAGAAAAATCAAAAGAAGAAAAATGACGAGGCTGGAAGATGGACGGGTTTTGTATAATGGACAATGATGGTGGAGGAGGTGTTAGGTGGTGGTATTGAGTGAAGGTAATAGAAATGGATAGATGGGATGACGAGCTACTGGAGGGGCTTGCGTCGGTTGGGCTGATTTGGGTATCTGGAATTGGCTCGTGAATAAAGTTGAAGAGGTGTGCAAGGTGTGTAAGGTGCGCAGGGTGTGTGGTGTGTAAGGTTTCGTAAATCCAATCCCAGTCGATTGCCCCGGTGCCCAGCTTGGATGGAGATGTTTTGCCGGTGAATGAATGAGATCAATGAGATAAATGAGATAAATAAGATAAATAAGACTCCAAGAGTCAATCAGGTCTTGAATCAAGGTGGGGAGGTGAGCGGGAAAGAGATCTCTGGTGGGTTGAATTTTTTCTGGAAAAAATGACTTTGAAGTGGGATTTTCCTCTTTTCCTCTTTTCCTCTTTTCCTCTTTTCCTCTTTTCCTTGACTTTCCTCGATGGTGGTGAGATCTAGAAGCGATAGAAAGCTGAAATTGTTGGTGGGGGATGCCGCATGTAATTAATCAATCAATCAATCAACCTAGGTAGTAGGTATTGAAGTTGTGAATACTTTGTTGTCACCGGTTGAAAAATGGAGAAGAAGATTATAGAAATATCCTCTTGTCTTTTCTTATTTCTTTTTCTTCCTTTTTTCCTCTTTTGATCCTTTGGACCCTTCTCTCTTTTCTCTCCTCTCCTCTGCACTTCTTCTCCAATCTTCTTTTCCCGCAATAAGATGTGAAATATGAAATGTCCAAACGGGTAGATTTCCTATCGCATTTGATTGGCCGGCAACGAATTCTTGGACTGGACGGGGTAAATAAAGATTCACACAATTGAAGAGAGATCAAGGTCCCGGTAGTGTTACTCGGTCCAATTCACGTCTGACTGATGTAATGGTGCAGATATCCACACCAGGAATGGCTGATGCTTTGGAATTTGGAGTCAATGGAAGACGGAATGGATTGGATGGTTAAACACCACCACCACCACACGTCTAGGGTAAATGATTCGCGGACGGAAATGCGAAAAGAAATGGAAAGAAATTCGTATAAACTCGTGAGATTCGTGAGAGCGTACGATATGCAAAAACAAGATGGAGAATTAAAAAAAGAGGTCGGTCAATGAGAAAGTCTAATATGGATGAGGTAAGGTTGTTCCTTGAGCGGCGCGTACGATCGTTGGGTTGATGATGATTGTTTGAGCCCAAAGTTCCTGGTGCTTTCTGATACAATGTCATTCGAGGTGGGAGCAGGGAGGAGGGAGGGGGAGGAGGAGGAGGAGTAGGAGTAGGAGTAGTATGAAGAAGAAAAGCCAGGGAAAGAAAAGATCATGAAGTTAATAAGTCAGTCACATCGAGAGATAGTTGTATTCATTATAGTAATAAGTGTAAGCTTCAAAATGGGTCTGTTGGTCACTGACAGCGGCTCTACTTCCTGGCTACCTATTAAGAGGGAGGTCGACTTGAAGGTCTAGTGAGCCGCCCTTGAAAGCGTCCTTCAACAACGTGCTTCCAATCTCCAATCCAGAAACGATCCAAAATAGAAGAAATAGAAGATTATCATTTGTTCCAACTAAATTGTGGAATTTTGGATCGAGGGGTGCAAAAGCGCTGCGCTTGAAAACCGAATTAGGTGAACATAATTGCCGCCAACATCACATGTGGTTGAAGATATCTCCTCTTTTGGGTGGTGGATAAATCCTACATGAACAGTGGCATCTTTCTTCTTGCATGAACATTCCTTCGTCAGTACCTAGTTCAGCAAAGGCGTTTCAGCTCATGCTTTGGTTGGTAGTGGAGAGAGAAAAGAGAGGCTGAGTTCTTTATTAGACTCATGAACCATTTGTTGGTCTGGCGACCTGGGCACTCCCGCAGCGGACCACCCGTTGGACTCAGTACTGTACTGACTTGAGACTTGGAGTGGAGCACCAAAGGTTCAATTGTTGGTTACAGATACCGCCAAGGTATGGTAAAAAGTCTCCTCTTTACATATATGAGCCACAAACCATAGCCTACTTGTAATTTCGCTCTACCGACAGCAACATCAGAGTCATAGATGGGGAGTGTTGCCTTTTTTTCGCTGAGGATTCGGGTTGTAACTTGTATCCAACGGTAAGAATTTACTATCTACCTACCTAGGTACGACGAGTGAGAAACACTGGCTGACTGCTTCATTCATTGACTTTTGAGTCGTATGTCTCTTCTTCTCTCGTGCTCTGTTCTTGTGATACCAAAGTGTGATGTGATGTCGATGGATTCGAGTGGGGTCTAGAATTCAAAGATACTTGGTTTCGTCGGTTGCTGACCATGAGAATGAGAAGGGATGAACGCTCTTTTCTTCAGATGAACGTCAAGAACAAGAATTTGTCTTGATTGTTTGAATTCTATTTCGGGGTTTCCTTTTGTCGAAATGAAACATTTACCCTCATGACTTGAATACTTTTTATACCGTCGAAAGAAGTACTAGCTCAGAGGTTAAGTACTAGGTAGGTTCTTCATAAACTTTGAGGTTACGTCGACCGAGTAGGAGCACTTTGCTTGAACGTAATTTGGTGGGTTTGAGGTTCGCCAGCTAGATTGTGATAAATAGCTGGCACAGTACTCAAGATACCTACAAACAGATTGACTTGTATGACAGAAGGTCAATAACGGATATTGGGGTATGTGAGGCTCCGTTAATATATCTGGAGCCTAGCGACAACTTGGCTTGCAGCAGTGAAGATGGACGGATCATGGTGAGGAGTCCACTGTACTCAGGTGTTATAGATGTGTTCAAAATTGATCAAAGAAATCCTCGATATGTTGGAAGCCCTTTCTTCTCGAATTAGAAGAGTGAAGGAGCGTTTAGATTACAAATATCAATCAGGAAGGATATCGAAGAGCTTATAAAGAAGCCAAGATTGAAAGGTTATGTGATGGTCGAAACTTTAGCCTGCAAGTTATCTAGATGTCAACCTACCCTTTGATCTGACGGAACTCAAGATGTAGGTTTTTTTTTTTTTTTTTCTGATAAAAGGGGATAAAATGGGTTTGCATAAGACACTCGAGTATAGACAAAAGTTATTGACGGTTTTTCTTTCTTGCTACAAAGTTCCTAGATATAGAAGTCACTGTATAAAGAAATCCATCCATCCAAGCTAAAGTAAGGTTAGAAACTAATAAGTGTTTTGACAAGTTAAACTACTTCCTAGTATCTGTTACTATGATACTCAAGTCCGTTCAAAATATACCGAACCCACTTGTCAGAAGCATGGAGGGGTAAATCTATCATTGGAAGGTACAGCTATCAGACTTTTTCCGACTTTGTACCATAGATCTATCGTAATTGAATTTCAATCAAAGCTTGAACTATAGGAAGGTCCAGATTTATGTAACGAAGAGCTTATTAGCATTGTTAGATTCCTTGGAGATTGGACTGATGAGTATCGAGCGGGAGATATACTAATAACAGTCGCAGTTGTTGGGGTCGCATTGCAAGTACCCCGTCTCCAGTATGGTAGAACCTGAAATGAGAAACCCCCATAAGGCTGCCCCTCTATTGTACGATGTGGAAGTTTGGACGGATGGACCGAGAGTCTCATGAGATGGTAGCAGGTACTCACTTTGGCGATCAACTTGTCGAGGTAGATGGGCTGCTGTACGACAGGTTATGAGTATCATACCTAGTATGTCCTACCCGCAAGATCAATGATGAATGTGGAATGAAAAGGGGTGAATGTTGAAATGAATGAATTTGGTAAGATAAATGTTGACACTCTTTCCATCTGTTCATCTTTCCAGGTTCTCATTCGGTAGGGAGCTAGAGGTAGGTAGATCAAGTGACTCTATCTACATCTTCATCTTCATCTTCATCTTCATCTTCAACTTCATCTTCATCTTCAATTTCCATTTCATCTCCATCTCCATCTCTAATCGATAAGAGTGTTCCTGCATTCGTTTGGTGGGGTTGATCTCTCAACCCAATCCCTAACCAGCAACGCGACCGTACTAGAAAAGGTTAATCACTAGCTAGATGCCTCTAACTCCCTAGTAAATCCCCCCAAACTCCACTACAACTCCACAACTCTCTATGTCATCGACTCAACTCTCTCAATAATTTTCCTTCATCTCAAATCTCAAAACTCGACATCATCCCAATATCTTCAATCTTTCTACCCCATTTTCCCCTTCTTTTCTTTCCTTCATATTGGTTCTTTTCGGGGGGGGTTGGAAAATACATAATGTTCTTTTAATTGGTAACCTGTACTACAAAAATTATACGGCTTCCCACCTACCGTATGGTCTCGCGGGTAATCGCATAAAATACCTACCAACGGTTTTGAAAAGCCTTTCAGTGCATTACACTTTTCATCAAATTCTCCGACACATTAGGGGCTCCCGCATTCACCATGGCACAGCAATCTTCTTCGCCTGCTGATTCTCTCGCAGCCATTGCAACTCTCACGGATGAAATAACCCTTCAGCAAGTTTATCTAGTTTCCTTGAACGATTCCTCGGGAGATCAATCATCGCGCAGAGCAGAAATCGAGGCTGAGATTGTCATTCTGAAAAAGGAACTTTCCACCCTTCAAGCTTCCTCCTCCCACGCTCAAGCTTCTTCTACTTCTCACAATAACTCCTACATACGACCATCCGATATAGCTCGTTCGAAGATGAATAGCGCGGTCGGGCGAGGAAGCAATGCTGGCTATCAATGTTAGTCTTATCCTGATTCATCTCCTTTAGATGCGAGCCCACGGAACCCAGATTTACTTCGTTTCCTCATCCGCGTTCAAAGTTTCTTCTACTAGTGTTGAGAAATAGTTTCTGCATTTTGTTCATTCTTCTCCCCAGATCTCAACTCAAATTTGACAATCAAAATTAACTCTCCTGCAGTCAAAGAAGAAGGCGAGTCAATGGGATCATTATCCTCCACAGCTTCGACACCTGGTTCTGGAGCCTCGATGATTGGTTCTGGCTCACATCGAGCTGACCTCCCCACTCGAAAGCGTACTCTTAGCAAACATTTAGATACGGTTGTCCCTTTCGAAGAAATCAAATCTCGACGAACAACACCGAGTCCTTTTGCGACAGGTGTAACAACTCCTTCGGGAAGCTCAGGGTATGGTTATAATGCAAATGGTGATGGATACTTTGACCTCACTATGTTTGTCCCTCATTTGATCATCAATCATCGATCTCATAGTTCCTTCGTCAATGGTAAACCGGAAGAGAATACATATGCTAATTTATCCAAATCTTAGGGATGATGATATAATAATGTTCGATCCCACCTTTACCGAACACCAGAAGCAGGAAGAACAAAAATTTCAAATGGAGAGGCAAGATGCAGAGTTTGCTAGTAGCCTTGCAAACTCAAATAGCCCCGTCTCAAACACGCCGATCGCTAGCTCAAAGCCTTCCGCTTTCAATAGGCTGTTCGGAGGTCACTCGGGAAGTCTCTCACAAGCTTCCACCTCTCGCGACATCCAAGCTGCCAAGTCCTCCGCGATGTCAAACACTTTCGACACTCATAATAACAGTTCCTCAGGTAGAAGTCTTCCGTGGAAAAGGGGTTCAAGTTCTAGTCTCAAGGCCGAACCACGAGCATTGCCTTATGTTCAACCTTCATCTTCAGGGTTTTTTGGCTGGGGTTCTGGTGGTACTACAATCAATGCCGAGCCACGAACATCGTCTTATGCTCAACCTTCACCTCCAGGTTTCGCTGGCTGGGGCTCTCGTGGTACTACAGGTATGCACCAAGAACTGTCTTTTACTGCTACGAACTCCAATCTTATGCCATTTCCAGAATCGAGGATGCCTGGTACCTACATTGATGATGCGGCTAGTGATTCATCGCTTGAAATCATCGAACCTTCCGCTTTCAAGGATAATGGTCGTCAGAAAGCCACAACTTCGAGGACTACCAATTATTATGGTCAGCCAGGTCCAGTTTATTCATCAGAAACCCGCGCTTTGGGAGATACTGCTATTAGCCGTTCAAACACCAGCTTACAGGGTGTTTCTGCTTTACCTAACTGGGCAAAAAACTCTCCAAATGTAATGGAAAATCCAAGTGCAAATATCAGTGATACCTCGGCTTGGATGTCAGGAAATCATGCCCATGGAATGAATCTTGAAAATCGAGTAGGAGAGCAGAATATTTATTCACCACTGTGGGAGAGGGATCAACCATTTAGTTCCTACAATGGATTGAACGCTGACTATAAAGATTTTCCCATGAATGGCACACCTTCTGCCATGACTTACAATAGCACAGATCCTTCTGGTGCATACCCATTCGGTTACTCCAATTCCACAATGCCTCTGACTGTTCCAGGATCAATAACTGGAGGTATGCATTCTTCACATCCCAAAAACAGTATGCATGGGCCAGACCCGGCTTTCAACATTGAATCTATGCCAGAACACGGCATGGGTTCAACTAATTTTAATTCCTTGGGAGGCGCGCTTAGTAATAGGGGCAATCTTTTAGACGTTGAATCGAACCTTGGCTTCTTATCTCCCTCCTTCGCGTATACCCCTCAGATGACGGAACGAATGGAACACGTCATCAATGATCCTAGAAAAACTGAAAAAGAGATCAAAGACCTGTTGGAGAATATTAAAGCTGAGATTGAGATTCCGTTAGAAGACCGAGAGGGAACACCTGAAGGATTGAGATATCCGTTGGTTAGTTGAAGCCCGGCTCGATTAGATCTTTTGAGGATTTGTTGCTAACTTGTAATCAGTATGAGCACCAAAAAATTGCTCTAACATGGTTGAAACAAATGGAGGAGGGCAGTAACAAGGGGGGTATCTTAGCCGACGATATGGGTCTAGGCAAGACAATCAGTACTTTGTCACTCATTCTATCACGACCATCAACCGACCGTACGTGCAAGGTATGTTTTCTTTGACGATATGACATTACTGTCTTCTGATAGTATCTAGACTACGCTTATAGTTGCGCCTGTTGCCCTTCTTCGCCAGTGGAATAGCGAAATAGTTTCGAAGACATTGCCGTCGCATAAACCCAGTGTCTACATGGCTCATGGAAACAGCAAGAGATCTACTTGGGATGATCTCCGACAATATGATGTAGTCCTCACAACTTACGGGACTTTGGCTGCGGAGTATAATCGACTTATCAAATTCGAAGAAGAGAGCAGACAAAACGGTATCACGGATCCTGATCCAAAACAGATGGCCAAGGATTTCCCGCTTTTAGGCCCTAAGAGCAGATTCTATCGTGTGATTCTTGACGAAGCACAAAGCATCAAGAACAAAGCCACCAAATCAGCCGCTTCGGCCTGTAAACTAAGAGCGCTGACTAGGTTTTGCCTTACCGGCACACCGATGATGAACAACATTACCGAGCTTTATTCGTTGATTAAGTTTCTGCGCATTCGACCTTACAGCAACTGGTCTGCCTTTACAAAGGTATGTATATCCAGTATACCTTATTTATAGAGACTGTTTCGTTAACAATGATAGGATTTCGGCTGTCTCTCTAAAGGAGGTTCATCACACACAGAGGAATTTCTCAGAAAGACCATGCAACGTCTGCAAGGTGTTCTGAAGGCCATTCTCCTCCGTCGGACGAAGCAATCTAAAATTGATGGAAAGCCGATTATCAACTTACCACCAAAGTATGAACATATTGATCATGTTGTTTTTAGCAAAGATGAGCAGGAATTTTATCAAGCTCTTAAGGATAAGACTCAACTTCAATTCAACAGGTACAGGAAGGCTGGAACTGTTGGGAAGAATTACTCGAATATCCTTGTCTTGCTACTTCGTCTTAGACAATGTTGTTGCCATCCGCATCTGATTATTGATCTTGAAGAAGCCGCAGCGGGCTCGGCAGAGCTCACAGAGGAACAGATGATTGATCGCGCATTGGCCCTGGAACCAGATGTTGTCTCAAGACTACTTGCTGCAGATGGAGGGTTCGAAGTAAGTTGATTAGTATATGGTTTGAAATATCTTTACTAACATCCCAAGTGTAACATCTGCTACGATGCAACTCCAAATCCCAGTATCATCATCCCTTGCGGACACGATAATTGTCACGATTGTTTGATGGCATTATCCGAACAGGCCAAGCTGGCAGCGCGAGGCGATGATGATGGTGCCACGGCCCTCAAATGTCCAAGTTGTCGTGGAAAGCTCGACATGGCGAATCTTATCGACTACAGAACTTTCAAGAAGACACACATGCCATCGCCGAAAGTCAAGGAGGAAGAGATTGTCGACGATGCCGTCGAAAGTAGTGATGACAGTAACAGCGACACCGAATCCGAATCCGACTCTGATACCATATCTGATGATGTTGACGAGAATGGAAATTTAGACGGTTTCGTAGTCCCTGATGAGATCGAGGATGATGAGGCTGAGGCTGAGCAAGGTGACGATGAAATTAATTTAGCATCGAAGGTTCCTAAATCTAAGTCAAAGTCAAAATCTAAGACAAAGGCGAAGAAAAACAAGGGCAAAGGGAGGGAGGTTGAAAAGCAGAAGCAACATCTTTCAATTGCCATGATGAAGAAAGAGGCATCTAGATCTATTGCGGGTCATAAGAAGTACATGAGATATCTGCGAAAGAATTGGCAATCATCTGGAAAAGCCGATAAGTGCGTCGAACTTCTTGAGAAATTTCAAAACGAAGGTGAAAAGACAATCATCTTCAGTCAGTTTGTGACATTCCTCGATCTCCTCCAGGTGCCCATCGGAGAGAAGGGTTGGAAATGCGAGCGCTACGATGGAAGTCTCAATTCCAAACGTCGAGACGAGGCAATCAAGCGATTCCAGGACAAATCGGATTGCAATATCATGCTCATTTCTCTCAAGGCCGGTAATGCAGGACTCAACCTGACCGCAGCCTCTCGAGTTATTATCCTCGACCCATTCTGGAATCCATTCATCGAGATGCAAGCAGTCGATCGTGCTTATCGCATTGGTCAGATGAAAATAGTTCAGGTTCATCGCATTTTAGTACAAGAAACAGTTGAAGATCGCATCATGCAGTTACAAGAACAGAAAAAGAGCTTGGTAGAGTCCGCACTTGACGAAGGTGCTATGAAGAGCGTAGGGAGACTTGACGAGAAGCAACTGGCTTTTCTTTTCGGTGTCTGAGACATTTGAACATGTTTTCCTTGACTCTCATACGTGCTCAATTGCTTTTTTGAAATGGGTTGTATAATCATTATGAGGCGTTTTGGGGAACTCATGATTACGATTTGGCTGGTCCTATTTCTTTCTTTGCACACATTGGCATGACAAGCAGAATAAAACATGGCGAAATTTTGGGCTGGGTTTGAACGAAATGGTATGGGATGGGGTAGATAGTCTTGTGCATTGCAAGGGGGAAAATATGGTCTGGAATTCTCTTTTTGTTTGCTCGCTTTCGTCGGATCTTGATACCCTATCACCATGGCGTTTTTTCATATGGTCTGATGGATGGATTTACGATGTATTACGAGCGGTGGAAAATGAATTCAGCATGTTCTATCTTTCACATCATCTGTGATCTTTTTAGTTTCTTTAAGTCTGTTAGGGGAGTTGTTAATGAAGTGCGTAAAATTATTGAGGTTGGGATTGGGATTGGGATTGGGATTGGTGTGGTTGAGAGCTGGAGGGTAGAACTCTAAGAATCTGGAGATGAGGTGCCAGATGAAGGGATGAGCAAAATGCATAGATGGCTGTTTTAGATTCTGGCGAGGAGTGGATGGAGAAAAGAAGAGAGATACGATACGATACAGTACAATTCATACAAATAGTCACGCACATACTACCGTGGTATGTCACAGCGATAATAAATATAATTAGATGACGCAGGGATTTCGTTCTCTTGTCGGCTCTCGTCTCGATTCGACGGGCCAAACCTTTAGGTAGCAATCAAGATCAGATCATACCTCATCATCATCATCATCATCATCATCATCATCATCATCATCATCATCATACTTTGTGCTTGTTTGTTTGTTTGAAATATATATTAAAACTTTTATCTATCTGTGGGCATACTACTTTCGTTTCATTCCTTTGTAGATAGATAGGTAGGTTAGGTAGGTAGGCAGGTTAGGTGTTCAACTCAACCCAACCACTAGCCATTGATCCATCCATTACATCACATTATCCCCATCATTAATCAAGAATTTCTTCTTTTCCTCTTCCCCCTTCCCCCTCTCTTGTTTCCCTCCCTTTCCTCCCTCGCCTCGCCTCACCGCACTTCACTGTACCATTACCACCCTTCTGAATACTCCTCGAATATCCATGCACACACCTCTCATTCCCCCAGCAAACCCAATACCCCCAAGACGAACCCAGCAAATAAAAGAGAAGAGAAGAGAAGAGAAGAAGTAAAAACGCCGTGAAATCCTCCTTTCCCCTGTCTCCCAAAAGAAAATATGATACGCATACAATACATAGGGTATAATGCATTTGACCATCCCAAATCATTCCGTCCCATCCAAGCATCCATTCATCCAGATTGCGTTAGCTAGCTAATTATTCAGTTACCTAGTTAGCCATTATGGATAACTCATGCAGATGCTATAATATAAAATGTAAAACATTACATTTCCCGAGCAGCGAACAGATCAAAAAGTCTCCTACATCGAGCAGTTGAAAGAATAGAAACTGGTTCTGTTCTTTCCTCGGTTCTTTCTTTTCGTATCAGTTTCCCTGTTCCCAAGTCGTAGTACGTATGGTGATGAAATAGGAACAATAGGATAGACGTAGAAGTGACCAGTTGAACTTGTATTCATGTAACTGAATGACCTTGGTCCAAGAAGTGAAGATGTATATCATCTATAGATGATGTAAAAGTGCTGTAACGCCATGATAACGCCATTCCGAGGATTTGGCCAAGTTGATCATCTCTGTCGATCTGACACGATTGGGGTTATTGCGCCTTCAATTTTGCGCCAATTTCGAATGCCCATTGCCCATGCTGATTTCCATGCCGCTAATGTCGAGTATAATTGTTATGTATTGCCGAGTTTTTCTGGCCACGAGTGTCTTCCGGAAGAATGGTATAGTGTATTCGTCTCAAAGGGACGACAAAAATATTAAACATCTATTCACATGCATGTATATAATGCTCAGATGAAGAAAGAAGAGAACCCTATTGCGCCAAATAGCGAGAAGATCCCGAAATCCAATCTTGCTACCGGAATCGCAAAAGATTTGCTAGGACTAGGTGTAGCAGTCGCAGTGAAAAGACCTGTAAGGATTTCTGTAGTGGTGGTCACTGAGGCAGACTTAGCAGTTCCAGAACCTGTTGATGTTATAGTACTAGTAGGAGCACTGTAATCTGAGGAATCACTGTAAAGTACTCCATCGATAATTGCCCCCTTCCCAGCGATGATCATCTGCCGTTCATCTTCTGTACATGTTCCGGGAATATTCCGAAGGTAGCATGTATTTGTTGGGGATGGTGGGAGACTTGTGGTATGTGTGGCATTCAGGGGACCAGTGGTATTGTAGACTGATGAATTGATGGTTTCTCCTGTTGAGAGAGAGGTGCCCATTATGATTCGGGCAAAAACTTGGAAAGCGGTCTCGGGTTGGTAGGCCGGGACACTGTGACCTGCGTCGTATATGCGACTAAAGGAGAGATTGCCAAACTGCCTTACAACACCACCAATATAAGAAGTGTTAGTTATGATAGGAGCGTAGCCAGCGGCTGGAAACTTTGAGGCATATTCAGAAGAGACTTGTTCTGCAACAGCTAAAGATATAGCTTCACCACCAAGCCAATTACAAATATAATCCCTATCACCATACATCAAACCAACATGAATTCCAGAATTTACGAGCGCAGCTAATTCTGGTACGTAAGATTTACGCTCGTAGTCGCCAGTGGATGTGAAAGCGGCAACAACTTGTAGATTTGTCTCGGTGTAATTGATTGGTGAGCCGATAGCAGATTGAAAACCAGCAGTATTGAGGTACTCGAGGTATGTACTGGGTGGAAATGAATCAGGCAGATTATGGGAAATATCGTACACACTTCTTCCAGCGTCATAATATGGTTCCAGCACGTTCGTCAAACAACTCTTATATGCATTGGAACAAGCACTGTTGACACTTGAGACATTGCCCTCATTTGTAGGGTCCTGACTTTGCACAGCGGCTCGACATTGTGTAATTAGGTCCTTGCAGCCACCAGAAGCGTAAAAGTTGGCAGTCGCCAATTTTGCCCTTGTAGGATTGATAGCACTAAGGCCGAAGGTATTATTAACTGCAAAATCAGGATAATAAGGGGCTTGAATTAAGTCATCCACACAACCATTGACTATTCCGAGTGATTTGAGTTTAATGTCAATGGTTGTGCTTTGAGATAACGTGCCGTTTGCACGCTTCTCGTTCTGCTCTTCCCAAAGAGTTGCGAAAGCTGGACCATATTTTCCACCATAACTCTCTGCGAACAAGTGAATATTCATAGCGGAACTATTATTTGGAGTATATTGTGGAAAGGCACCAAGAAATCCTTGGAGCATGTGCCATATAGCCATTCCAGCTATCTCAGTAGTATTGGCCGTATTATTGACGTTCAGAGAGCTAAACGTTCCATTTAAAAAGGTATCCGCAGGCTGCGAATTTGGGAGAGTCTGCTGTGGAGTATATAGATCGGACGTGAGAAGGTCGAGAGAGCAATTAGTAGGCGTATCATATGAAAATCCAACTTGGTTGGGCTACACATGTAAACGTCAGCTTGTGGAAGTGGGTATGGCGCGTTCATGAGCAGAACAGTGGTATTTGGCCAACACTCTCGTGAACACCTGGAGAGTGTAAAGCCTAGCAAACTGTAACAGACGTCCATGTATTCCAATTGAGATCGAGTATCTCGATTGGTACAAGATAATCTCGAGAAGTGCGCATTGAAAGAACCATCAGACAGGGAAACAAACTCAAGATGCTGCATACCTGATCAATATATAGCATATTAGAAGCTCTATCCCAGCCCCAATCCCTAGCTTCCGTCGCAAACTTCCCCTGTGCTACTTCAATAACCTCACAAGGACCATTTTCATTGAAAAGTCCAATCATCGAGCTGGAGCCTGGCCCTCCATTCAGCCATATCGTAAGTTGATCTGTAGGATCTCTCGCAGAGATAAACCAAAAGAATGTGTTCGTCGCATAACTGCCCGGTATATTAACCCAGCCTGTATATTGTTCTTGAGAATCGAAAACCGTTTGGCAGGTGCCTGTTGGTGGTGTTTTGTAAGAGATGGTGATATTCCCATCGACTGGGGACGTTATTCTAGTGAGGTTTGAGATGGGTGGATATTGAGCGAGTGTGAGGGGCAGAAGCACCGAAAGAAAGAGAGAATAACGCATGATGGTTCACTCATATTTCGACCAAGATCGGAGGAAAGAGAGTCGAATAAATGAAAGTCTCCAAGTGAAGTTGTTGATCCTACGGCAATCCTACGAGAAAATGTATTGGCTTAGCCCCCAAGCGACGTCTTCATGCAAGGGTCAGAAAGCTGCTGTGCCTCGTATCTTTTGTGGTTTTTGATGAAATTTTATGATAATTCATCGACGATCCCTTTTTATAACTTTGTTTTTTTCTTCAATTGTATTGATAAGAACAATATAATTTGCGGCAATACTGAGAGGTGTATGAATGAAGAGGCTTGAGAAGCGTTATATGCATTGTCACTTCATTCTCAAACGCGCGCGCATTCTTCTTTAAAATTCCTTCTTCAACAATTTGCGCGCCAGCTACGAGTCAATTCTTTATTTAGCTTTTCCCCTCCTTAACGGTTAATGTACGAAATACTTAGTCAGAACCTGTGTGCGATGGTGGATGGACAAAACTAGTCTCCTAGTATTGCTATTACGGACTCCGGAGAGAAGAGAGATCAAGAGAGCCACCCATTTTTCTCCGCTTGTGGGTGATCCTGCATTGTACTTCGGTGGTGCCCCAACTCTTTCTGTTGTCTTCATTGGATACGTGAATTGATCAGCTCCCAAGGCCGCTGATTGTTGGATCTGGATCGATGGCCCTCTTCAATACGTTGCAACGCTTGATAAGTGCACCCTTGGGTCGCTTCGCGAAGAATTGATATACACTTCATTTGGGTCACTATGAACTATAAAATACAAAGTGGTTGGTAATTTAACAGAAGAATGCTACCGGTACATTGCCAAGTTCATTGCAATCACTTGGATCAATCACGACCAAATTTTGGGTTTACAAGCCTACACCGATCTCTTAGCATGCAGTCATGTGTGAGCACAGCTCTTTGCAACACTTTGCTGATATCTCAAGGAGGGTTCAGCACTTTCAATAATCTGCAAACTAGCGTCTAACTCTATCAACGATTGCACGATTCCCATCCACTCAGAGATTCGAGTCTTGTTCTGATAGATAAGGCACAGATAATAGGTCAACAAGTCCCGTCCCGCCCGCTGTCCACGATTGAATGTCGTTGCTCGGATCATGCCCGTACTTGTGATTTGTGGTCTCTAAGGTAATTACATTTCTATTTTCGTGTGCCTTTCTTTTTGTATAGTCTCAGCTATCATGGCGGTGTCTGCCTTTCCCATGCAGGCGATAGGATTTTTCATTATACATCTCAGTTCCAAGTGGTAACATTCTTGTGAAGAATAGGGAATGACACTGCTGGGTAGTTCCGGGGGAATGAGGTTTCTGGAACCTAAAGTGATAGTTTTGATCTAGTCAAATGTTGTCTAGTTGTTTTTAAATTAGTAGCCTCAATATATTCTCACCAGCCATCACCTTTTGCTTGCACACAATTAGTGATATATAAGACATGGCGATATGAACACAATCAGTCCAAGACGAATTTCATGTTTAGCCAGCGCTACAACTTGTTCTCGTCTTCCTGCTGAAGCTTTACAAGTCGATGGCTGGGTGCTAGACTCAATTAGCGGTATGATAATTCGCATTTTAAGTTCTTCATTGTGTTGTTCTTTTTGCTTGAGGATACTCCGTTTTGAGAAGAAATTAGGAGGACTTGCCATGAACTGGTGTCTCCAAAGCGTCATGGTCCCGTCGATATAAGTCTCTTGTGGTCGGTCACCTATTCAGATTGCTTTCTGGCCCATCGACGAGGTTATTTCTTTCGCATGATCATCGGCCATTCGAGTTATTTTCCAAAAGATGAATCACGACTCTTGAAAGCAATGATATCGAAACTGCTTTTGCTGCATCATTAGAGATGCCAACTTTGTGGATATGTTTATACAATTCCCTGGCAATATATATGAAGGGCTCATAATGCCCAGCGGACATCTTCTCATACTCCAAGGTCTAATGAATAGCTGGGACGATTAGCATTGAAAGAGAACATTGGATTTCTATTTGGTTGTCGGCATTACCTACGCAGGAAGTAAGTTCTTATGTCCGAATTAATTACCGAGGGGAACGAATAAAATCCGGTGCTTTGGATTGTCGATTCAATCATGAACAATCCGAAATACAGATTCTGAACAATTGGAGTCATTAAATGAAATAGACTTTGACTATGAGGCCGGCCAAAATGAGTCGCAACGCTCATATGACTGTCTCGCTGATCGTGGACTCGAATCATGGTTGAGTCTTGTCTTTTTGTCTATTAGTCCATGTTCCATTTCCTTCACAGTTTCATTCTTTACCAACCTCTGTTCAACAAGCAACTTTTTGGTAAGTAATCTTCTTAGCCCCATGTTTTTAATGGAGTAGAAACCTGAATTTGTTAGAAAAATCACAGTAGAGCATTCCACGCAACAAGAACACTGCCAGAAAGTCCTATCTCAGCCCGGTGCCGGTCTGGATCAATACAATATCTTAAATCGAAATTCATCGATATAGAGCATACAACAACGCCATATTTACACTAGGCAGCCCGCTCTTTTACGACTTCTTGAAAATCTAGTGCCATCACACCGATTTCAGCGCTGCTTCACTTTCTACATCCATATCGCCACACTCAAATCTCGATCATCATTCCTCGCCCCTCTATCCTCTAACCTCTATTACCTAAGGAAATCAAAGAAGATGGCCCTCTGGAGCTCAGTAAAAGACAAAATTTTGCCTCCATCAGGCCCAACAGGTAAGAAACGCAAGGGCTCGAACAAATCAAGACAGCAGACAGCCAAACCCAAGGAGAACACCAAGCACGCAAAGGCGGCTACCAGTGGTGGTAAACAAAGAGGCAATCGTAGCACTGGTGGTACAGATGCCAGTCGTCACAGCTTTTATAGCGCTGGTGACAAATGCGAGAGCTATTATGACAGCTGCGATACTAGTAAGCACCCGAATGATGAGGTGCAGAACTTTCACAAAGTTAGAGCCCATGAGCGAGGAAAGCAGGAGAGGAATAAAGAGGAGAGCAGGAAGCAGATGGGGTACGGTAGCGAGAGTTCTAGATTTTGGGATGAGTAAGAATCACAAGAACGATGGTGAACGTTGAATATTGGAATCAAAGGTGTGAGAGCAAGGATTATTGAGCATTGTCGGGTAGTGGTTACAAGATGTGTGTTTTGTCGAGACGGGCTGGGTGGATTTGAACGATTGGAGGAATATACGCATGGCTTTCTAAACCCGTCTTGCAGAACTGTGATGTGACGTGAACAAGGAACCCTTTCGATCACATATCGTGAGCACATAAAAGTCACACATTTTTTTTTTTTCGTTCCAGACTCAGTCACCAACCAATACATATCATGACTTATCCCCAAACATGAATCGCGATTTATCACAACATGATTCATCCCCCCACAAACTAACACACATGCAATGTCAACCCTATATCCTCGGCATGAACGCGACTAAGACATGTGATTACGACAATATGTGAGATTTATTCCATACAATGAGATGACATGACACGAGTGAGTACACACACTCAGCCATGCCCTGCAGACCGAGGTATGGTTTGCATTTGGGATCGTCTCATACATGCAATTATGCGGCATAGTGTGGTATGATATGGGAGCGTGTTCTCCGTATCAAAGTATCTCATATTTCGATAGACGTGAATGATTGTACAGGGTAAATATGTTGATGCCACATCGCCTACTCGCGTAGGAAATGGAGGAGTTATGAAGCCTCATAAGCATTGCTTGACTGAGAGTGATTGAAGAAAAATTATATTCAAGAGATCTCATGTCAAAATCTGTCTCTGTATCGAGTTTGCAGTGAGCTTAGAGATTCAAGCACATTCATTCTTTGAGTAATTATGTAGTCCATAGAACAGCAAATTTTCAACGCCATACCGTCGTACCTCACCATATCATGGCATGCCATTGGCCTCAAAACATATTCTTGAAAACCACAACAAGTACAATGCAATCACTAAGCCCCTCCAGACTCAATAGAACAATGTCTCCTCGAACATCCAAACTACTCATCACCAACGAAAAATCAGACTTTATCTTAAACATTCTGAAAAAAGATACATACCTACACATACACACCTCCCCAGCTTCCTCATTTCTCAAGCCCAAAATGCACTTACCTCAATCTCAGACTCAGACTCAGCGTCCGTCTCAGTCCACAACCACCAATACCAACACCGTTATCAACACCACCACCAACATCCAATCTTTCACCTTTCTCTTGCCCCCCTCAGTTCCCAATCCCCAATCCCCCAACTCCCCAACTCCCGACATACAACCGCCTGCGCACCCCAAACGCACAGCTCAAGCAACGATCTTCCCATCTCCCCTCCATCCAAACCCAACCCACCACGCACACACACTTCACCTACCGATTGATCCGGTACCTACCGCGCCCCATCCATCCCATCCCACCACATCCCATCCCACCACGCCAACAAGCAAATTCCATGCACAGCACACCATCGCACAGCACATCACATCGCCGCACCTGCCCATGAGCTATCCGAGCAGAGAGTTCGCGCTCCACGAACGACGACGGCATTGCAGATCGTGGGGGTCCGTACTATACTATACTATACTATGTATGCACTGCGCAGCCTGCGAATGCCGAGATGGATGGGGAATTTTGAGAATGCGGATGCAGAAGAAATGCGATGAATCATGATGGAAGAGTCAAGGATACAAGCGCAGTACGCGGTTGAAAATTAAAGCGAGTGAATAGATGAACAGATGGTCAATTGAAAATGGGGGTGGATAATTTAGATTGATGTTTGATAGTCAGGCATGACCATGGATGGCTACGAGTTTGGAAGTTGGATATCCATCCCCTTCTCATCGATTCATCGATTGCTCCATGACGCAAATTCTAGAGCGCCGATGTTGGATTCTAGATAGCAGTGAAAACCGTCAAGTCCCAGTCGTATCATTTTACCTCATGCCACAGCGATCATGTAACCATCCATCATCCCACCCACCGCTACTCCCTCAAAGCCAACCTTCGCCCGTACACAACACTCTATAAACCATCTCCAGTGAGTCCAGTCATACCGCTGCATAAGCGACGCCACATCTTTTTACAAAATTACACATCAATATTGAGGCTGTTAGTTTGCGTACTAAGTGGGAACTCATCGCCAAATCCATGTTTAGCAGACAGAAAAGAAAGCATTTGCGAAAAATTTCCCCACACAATTGAAATGGTCCAGAATTAGGCAAACAAATGCCTTTACTTGACACATAGTGAAAGTTTTAGTTGTGTCCCGGAAGTACTATTGTATTTCCGTGATGAGTTGTTAGAATTTTATATGACAGCAAGCTCAGTTCTAACTTATCTCCCCGTGCTATGGTGAGACTCTGATTTTGGTGTCAGTGGTGGGATCCTCGATTTTTCCTGAAGATCTACCTCAGATCAACTGGTATTTGGAATTGCATGATTGAGTCGTTTCTTTTGTGGTTACTGATCAAGCCGACACCACTTTGAGCTCAGCAACTGTGAGTGCAATACAGAGAAAGTGGACTGATCTTTTGGTTTCTAAGTATCTGAATTCAGCTGTCTTATGACAGTACCATGAGGCACAAGGGTATCCCCCTCACTGATGAAATGAAGAAGCAAATATATGAAATTTACTCAATTTAAAGCAACTAATGAAATCGGCGGTATGAATTCATCGTCGTAAACCATAGTGGAGGACTTCGGTTCTTGCTGATCAATCTCTGGGGACGAAGACCTATGATTTGTAGATCTTTAGGCTGTCAATATAACCCTCAAGGCGGTGTACAGATTTGTACGGTGTATAATTGTAACAATATCATAAATTGTTAGATCGTTCATCTCAGCGAGGGTCATGATATATGGCTTGATGCGTGCCGCTTCACGCGTCGTAAAATACTCTAGAAGAAACGAGGCTCCTTCAATCTTCGAGATCCACGTGGAGATTTCGAGACAAAACGCGACTGAGTGCTAGTCAGGACCGCATCTCAAACCAAAGCTCACGACAGAAGCCGCATTGCGGTAGTGCTTCCTATACAAAAGAGTGTAGGATGTTCCCTTCATTTGCAAATCCATTTTGCAAATCTTCAGGACACGAATAGCGAGGCATATTGTTGGTGAGACAAAAAACTTAAAATCGAAATTCCCAGGGATTAACCCAGTTTTGACAATGAAGCGAGTATTTGAAGCATCATTAGGCGCATAAGTGGGATAGAAGTCCTTTAGTGGAGTGAAACAAGCCCATGATCTACCCCCAAAGGAATTTGATGTATGAACTGTTCAGCAGAAGGGGAAGACGTGGTATGCGCCACCGACTGGCAAAAGCTCTTCGGCTGCGGGAAAAACATAAGGATATGACATCTTCCCGTTTATTAGTTCTCATGCTAAATGCACTGATGTAACTATAGGTAAGGATGAGTAGTCAACTTTGTCTACTCTTCTGCCAGTGCTTCTCCAGCCTCTGCTCCATTGGACATATCTGCTGAATATGTAATCTCGGCGATCTATCTGAATGTGCCAAAACCCGAAATGCCACGAGGTGTAGAGGCGCTAGAATAGTATTCCCACCTCGGAAATGCTGCAGACAATCAAATATAGCATACCTAAACCAAAGAGAGTGTTTTCGGGACGGTTGATATACGTTAATCACTGTTTGCGGCGCAGCAATTTCAGCCCAATGATTACTTTTGATTCGGTGCCCCAAGAGTATGAATCGGAAAGTATCTACCGTATGAAACAAAGTCCTCGCAACGCATTGGCCACGTCGTATGCATTCTTGTGCCCTGCAGAATTGCATCGATCCGAATATGCCCTAGGTAGATGAGGGCAGGAGGGTAAGTTAGCCTATGCAACAGGCGGAACAAGAGCGTAATTAGCATAGCTGGTATTGAAAAATCAAAGAAATTAAACTTTACTAGGGTAGCATTGCATAACGTGCGAGACAGGTTCTCTATGGCCCAACGTCGTAGCTGAATAATGAAATCAATCAATCTAACCATAATTCAAACCCGAGAAGAAAATTTAGGGAAGTATAAGAGGACAATGCAACGTCATCTATTGAAACTTCCTGTAGAATGACAATGGAATATGGGAGCGACAAGGATCCCATCTGCCATGCCCAAGCACTGTGGTCACTTGGCTTGGTAACCTATTCGAAGCGGGACATCTCATCATGTTCCGGTCGGTCTGACCGGTTTCTTAATTGTTCTACTTTCTCTCGCCTTGCTTTGAAGTTGCATGATGATGATTCTTGAGCCCATAAAGACCCCACAGCATCCGAAGTCTCCGATATGAGGGTGAAACATTCATGTCCTTGTTCTAGAAGGTGTTAATGAAGCTTCTAGCGTCTTAGTATTATAGTTAATACGGGTCCAATCATATATTTAAAGTACTCGTGCGGCCAGAAAGTATGCGAATCCGAAGCTAGATGCACATACCACGGGATGGTAAACTACGACAGGAGTAACCTGGCTTTTCTAGCGGTAGAGTTGCATACCTACTTTGTGGCAGCACGAGTAATGGCTGTCAAAAAAGATTGCTGTGAGCCTGGTGATGGCACATCCCTGAAGCTTGACGAATCGTTGCGTTCCCAATCTTCTATTCCTGGTCAAATTGAAAGTCTGAAGTGCCATGAAAGCGTAATGTTCCGTTTCTGGAACGTTAGCGGTTAGCAATGAGAAAGCTAGATATACCTTCCCACTCTTTCCCTTGACAGTGTGAGCGCTTGAACATATAGTTCATCAATCAGGCTACCATCCAGCCAAAGTTACATCCTAGGATAAGATACCGAGAGCTAATAACATAGGAAAATAATGGACCAACATACTGCATGTACCGTAATCAATTTGACATCAACGACCACACACCTCGATGATTCAAACGTAAATCCCCGTCTAAGCAAGATGCTTGAAAGAGGTTTGATTTCTCCGAAAAATCAATCATCGTTTTCGGATATCCCTTATTAGGAACTTGAAAAAGGGCGATAGTCCAAATGGTACTTGTTGCAGTGTAGTGTCTCCGGTAGTAGAGGAAGATTATATGGCAAAGACAACGCATGGATAATAAAGCGACCCAGCGAATCCAATGCCATGGCCTCTGGTAACATGGAAATTAGATCTGACGACTTGACAAGGTTCGCACGTTTTATTAGCAGAAAATAACATGGTTCCATGGTCATTATGATGAAGCGCCCTTGGAATAGTGAGGTAGGTGGGGTCACCTTGCAGCGAAGGATTGCAAAAGCTGTGATACTCATGAGTCCTAAGCACACACTTAGCCAAATGCGAGATGCTTCCCGGGGGGGAAATGAACTTAGCTTCTGTCCGAGGCCCAGGTGCCAATTACCAATAGAATTGGATGTGACAAATCTCCAGGGAAGAGACCGACGGAACGGAGCAGACAGGGGAAACGGGGCATTGTCGACTTGAGCAAGTTACGGTATTCATTTTGACTGGGGAGGGACGAGAGAGAGGATACTCTTCCCATGTCTTTGGGCAGATTCCGGTACTTGCGTTGGTAGACATACAGCGTGTATATTGCCAAAGTCTGGTAGAGATGGGGATTGTAGCATAATATTGATAAAAGGAACTTTGACGGTGACTTTGGACCAAGACATTTGTCGGCTTCCTAGATGAAAAGAATATCCTGAAACCTTCTAGAAGTTCTTGATAAGCTAGCAGAATGCATGGATGTGTAGGTTTCTACCAAACTCCCCCTCAAAAAGTCCATTCAATTTCCAAGGAATATTATCACTGTAACCGAAATGGCAGTGGCTACTTCCCTTGATGACCCCTTGCAATTCAATAAGAGTGCCATCTCACAAGACAAGTTACCAACCGTATGGAAGAAGGGATAGATTTTCCATATCACGCCACCAGTTTATGGAGTGGTTTCCATGTGCCATATATGTTGATGTTACAGTCTCTCAGCGCATTGCTTCACATTGGTTACTGGCAATACCTATGTACCCTTCATTGCCCCTAAACCAGCTGATCGTCGTCACCTAGTTAACTTTTCCCCGACAGTGTATACGTCAACTTCCCTAGGATTGTCCCCTTTTATCTACAGCACAATCGTTGACGCTCTGTTATGCAATCTAGAGTGTCCATTGCACATTGCACATTACACAGGATATTTGATCTTCTGATCCTTTGATGATAAAGTGCAGTTTGGACCTCTGATACGAGTTAAAAAGCGTCCTCTAGTACCTATGCGTTCGAATGCTGTTCGCCTATATGCACTTTGATAGGGTTTACGAGTTTCTCAACCAGTCGGAATTTCAAAAGCCTCCATTTATGAAGACTGCCGTGCAAGGGACTGCATCATCGACGGATCGGCTCTACGGTGTGTCTAAGTAAAGAACAGTCACGAGACCGGTATTTGAGCATTATGTTCAAGGTCTTCCGGGTCCTCTCCCGCTCAGGGGCACGCAGACCAGAGTTGTCCCTCCCCCTGGTACTCTTCTATACCGCCTCCTAGTTTCCAAATCTCAAAACCCCCCCGGAATTTGCTACCATTTTCTTACTCGTCCGAGTCGCCCCACGTGTCTCGCATTGGACCGAGGATAGTGATCGCTTCTCAAACGCTATTGAAGAATCATCAACGCATTCCGTAAAGTTTTTGAATCCGGGATTGTGAGTCCATCTCTTTTATAATGTCCGTCAACGAGCTGTGAGTGATTGCACCGCACCGATGCCGTTCTTAGTTGAACAGTTGAACACGACGGTGGCACTAAATGATACCTATGCAAGGTCACTGTTCACAAGGCGGTTAAGTATACAAATTATCTAGGAATGACCTACCTAAGATTCTCGTGGAAAGTAATGCAGTCAGGCACAGGCACAGGCACATTGTGGCTTAGCTTTGTAGGAGTTTTAGCACAGTTAGCTCCACCCACCCATCATTACCATGTTCGGACTCCGTAAAACCTTATGACGGTGTAGGGTACGTATCTACTATCTACTATCGAGTATCAAGAGGCTGCTCGAGCCTCAAGGTTTACCAGGGTGTGACTTCCCAGCACTCCAGGAGATGGCTGATGTTTCCAATAGGCTCATTACGGGGTAATTGACATAGTGCGGCAGCGTACCTTACCACTTGTAACTTAACTCACGCCCCTTGACCTATACCTGACACAGCGTAGCGCTTGTGAGGTCACAATTCGTGCAACTTGCAAGCACAAATGATAAACGCGGTGGTCGGACAGCTTAGAGGTAGGGAGTGGCATGTAGCATGTAGCGTGGGGCACCGTTAATTGAGGGAGCATAATGGCAATGGACCCCCGGGTGGTCCTTGGTCACTAGATCATCAGTGATCACTCATCTTGAAGAATCAAGATGAATGGCAATTGGTTGGGTATGGGCATGGACATTGTAAATACAGCTAATTTACCACGATTGAAAAAAATGGCATGAGAGCAATGAAAGCTCGGAATGGCTTTGATACTGAACCGGTGTTAGCATTATCCTGTCAAGCTTACTTTGGGGTCCACCATTAATGTGATTGAGTGAAAGTATAATGATATGAAAGTGGCACTGGCATGAAGCTGTGGCAATCGACGCGTGCAATCAATAGGCGTGCGTATTTGGCCTGCACGTTATAGATGGAGCGTGAGGCAAAGTTCACATATGCTCCAGATATTAGCCCCTGAGAGCAAACGTATGGCGAGTGAGCATGTGTTGTACAGTAGATTCTTTTAGCTGGTGCCTATGTCAAGAGGAGGAAGCAGGAAGCAGTCATCTAATCATCGTTGAGAGATCGCGGTGACAGGATTGATAGGATTGAGTCGGTTGTGACCAGGGTAAACTAGGGGATCTTGGAAACGAAACTTAGCAAGTCAGCAAGAGTCTACCTACCTCTGTAGTCGCAAATCTTCATCCAGTCAAGTGTATGTAAATATTTACATATATTAAAAGAAAGTGGATGAGAAGTGGACACTGGACACTGGACATTGGTGACTGGAGTGACATTGGACATTGGACATTGGACATTGGACATTGGACTGTGAGAAGTGGAGGTTGATCGGCAGATTTCAAGTCATCTCTCTTTTGGTGCATACTGTTTATTATTATTACAGTCTTTACAGAGTACAATTTTGTCCTTGATATGTGCATATTCCCAAGTAATATCGAGCGACAGACGTGTGTACGAAGTATTCAAAGGTACTCGGATCGATTAGAAGTGCCGTTGTCTTGTCCTTGTTCTTTTTCCACTTCTTTTTCCACTTCTTCTTCTGCTTCTGCTGCTTCTGCTGCTTCTTCTTCTTCTTCTTCTTCTTCTTCTTCTTCTTCTTCTTCTTCTTCTGTTTGTTCTTCATCGTCTTCATCATCATTCTTTTCTTCTTTCCATCTTCTTTCTTCTTTCTTCAACCATCTCAGTCCTCTATCAATCCATGACTAATCAAGCAATCTATTATTATTCCATCGAGTCTCAATTCCTGACTCTTGACATGAATCTTTTCCTCTTTTTCTCTTTTCCCTTGCCCTGCTTCTTCCAAGTCTCTCTTCCCAATTCCCCTATAGAGACTGACTATACCTAGTAAATCGAGGACTAAAGTTCTGACCACCCTGTTTTAAGCTTTTAGCGACTTTTCTTTTTATCGTACCAGCAAACCAGGATTTCCAAGAGGTCTCCATCAACAAAAGCCTGCAAAACCTAATCCGCCCCTGTAAATTAAAAAAACAAAAAAAAGCATCGACATCCATCTAAAATTCTAAATATCCTCGTAATACACCCACTATTGCCGAATGGAAGGCCAAAAGAAGGATTCGGAACCCTTTACTTATGCTTCTAGTTCATTAATCCCCCCCCTCTCACTCTCAATCTTCCCAAGTTCCCCCCTCCCCCCTCCCCTCGATCCTCGAAACCCGGATATCTCGACAACCCACCCCTTCCCTCAACTATTGCTCCCAGTCCTTTCCCAATATTTCCGCATTCCTTGTCAATTCTCCTTCCTAGACACCCAGACACCCAGACACCCAGACACCCAGACACCCAGACACCCAGACACCCAGACACCCAGACACCCAGACACCCAGACACCCAGATACCCAGATACCCAGATACCTAGAGACCCAAATATCTCACCCTCTTTTTTCGAGAAGAAAAAAAAAGAAGTAGAAGACTGCTCGTAGAAGTCCATTGACAATTCTACGCCTTACCCACACATCCAAACGCTAAACCACTAAAAATCATCTGTGAGTACCTAGACAGAGAGACAGAGAGCGAGCGAGAGCATCTCATTTTTTTCACGATACATGAACCTTCCCTATCTCATTCTCTAGAGTCCAAACTCCTCATCCGTCCTCTCTCCAACCATAGCATCTACGCTTTGATATCTTGGCTCATCATTTGTGGTTTCTAATTGAAGAACATCAACAGACCATTTCAACTTGATTGTACATTATTTCTTGTATCGAATCTATAAAATCGGCATCGGCGCATTATTAACTATCAAGAAAGAGTACCTGCCGCATTGTATCCCGAGCTTCTAGTTCAGCCCAGAAGCCGCCTCCATCTCGAGATCTCTTCTCCGCCCTGCAGCAGTCGCATGGTTCCTTCCGAGGCATCTTAATAACCTTCGTGTCACCTTGGAAACTACCACTTCACTCCAACGTCAGTCCAATCCCGTAAGATCGAATTACAACCTCAATGTAAGTTTGCATGTCCTCACCCATCAACTACCAAGGATAGGGAAACAAATCACTAACATCCGATGGAATACTAGAAGATCAATCCAAATCTTTCTTTCGATTTCTCGACTCCTTGAAAGGATCAATTACTTCTCCAACTCCAAGACGCGCTCTACAAACAGATTCTACAAACAGATATAACTTTGCGACGCGAATAGTTTGTGTCCAGACCCTGAGTATTCGCAGAAGGTCTCGAGTCTCAAGAGCGCATACATAAGAAAAGAAAAGGATTGTTGGACTAGGCTCACTTATTGAGAGAATAAATTTGCGGATTCACAAAACTCGATTCACACCAAATTCGAAAACGCGCCACTGCAAAGACACTTTGCCTCATCACATCTCACATTCACCACTGATCCAATATATCGTCTCATCAGACGAACCTTTGGCTCGTGCCTCAGACACTGCAGTATCCCGAACCAGCATCACTCAAAAGAGGTGCAAACATATTCTCAAGTTCTGAGAACCATTGCTAGCTCACACGAAGCAGTGTTTATACGGTACGGTACTTCCTTGGAATCAAAGAACACGCATGCGCAGTCGCGTCTAGGAGATCATTTCCATCCAGCGAAATCAAGCCAAGAAACTCGAGCAATATCAGCGTTCCATCAATTGGAAAAGCATATTCTTCTGATTTGAGAAGGATTAAAAGAAGAGGCAACCAATTTTAACCGGTCTGTACGATTGCCCGTGCGTTGTGACATTCCCGCATCCCATCCCCGCCCACCCAGTGTCCAGATTGGCGGATTTTTACATAGTACCTGATCGTGAAAATTGTCTGTCGCGGTCAATTTTTTTATTTTTAATTTATTTTTGAAGCCATCCATACAGTGGACAGTGACCTACTAGGTAGTCAATCAATAATAAGGTAAGCAAGCTCGGATATCTACCTACATATCTACACACACGCAGTACATACAGTGCATACACACTGGATCCACTCACCCGCTCACCCGCTCATCCACTCGCCCACTCATCCACCCTGAACTCTACCTTATTCTTCCTACAAAATTAGGAGAATTGGCGGTGTGCACCGTGCTGTTGTTGTTGATGCCAACACCACACACAGCATTGCATCTCTTACCCCATAACACTTTGCTAATATTCACCCACTATAGACTTTTTGAAAAAAGTGAAAAGCGGCAAAATCCCCTCAAAAGAAGTCAATCTAAAAGGTCACTTTACTTTTGATTGGAACGAAGAACTTTCGATCACGTTACTCTACTTAATTCACTCACTACGGTCACTCTGGTCATTACGGCCCAATCTAAATCTTTGCAAAGTATTTTCCATTTAATATTCTTGCATACGACTTACAGCCTCTCGAACACTGGTTCCCGAGACACAAAGCAACCTTCGAGACACGGTACCAGATTTCAAAACTTGGTACGAACGCCTGATCCAAGCGTCGATCACGTCCTATAATCTTCTCTTATTCCTCTTTATTTCATTTTTCTAGCCAAGGGAATCTTGAAAAGAATCATCTCATTATGGATATCAAAGAAATAGTTAATTCGAAAGGAGTGAAAGGAGCAGCGGCGGCGGCAGCAGCATCAGCTAGTGGTCAAGCTCAGGCTCAAGATTTACACTTACTCCAAACTATATCGCAAGCCAACGGAATGCGCATGTCTGACACTGGATCCGAGAGAGGTACTTCTCCTCACGGTTCTGAGCATTCTCAATATTCTACACCACGAATGGGAATGAACGTAATGAACGGAGCACCAAATGGCATGCGTTATCCTTCACCTCCCGGTATGCAAAATGCGATGCCAATGATGCAACAACCTTACCGCCCTGATATTCCTTTCGATAACAGTATGATGCCCACACAACAACAAGATAACACGCGTCAACGTCAACCTGGAGATGTCACAGTCACAAAAGCTTTCCCTTGTAGTACATGTGGCAAAGGATTTGCTCGCCGAAGTGACCTTGCAAGACATGGTAAGTTTCTTCATAAAAAATAATTATGATCCGACTCGAGTTGCTGACCCCTTTATCTAGAGCGAATTCACAGTGGTGTCCGACCTCATGTCTGTGATTATCCGGGTTGTGGCAAACAATTCATTCAAAGATCAGCTTTAACAGTCCACCTCCGAGTTCACACTGGTGAAAAGCCTCACACTTGCGAACGTTGTGCAAAGGTGAGCATTATTTTCATACATTATAGGTTGATGAATTTTGCTAATTTAAAGTAGCCCTTTAGTGATTCCAGTTCTCTTGCTAGACACAGGCGCATTCATTCCGGAAAGCGTCCATACAAGTGCCCATATGCCGATTGTCAAAAGACTTTCACCCGAAGAACCACTTTGACACGCCACCAAAACCATCATACCGGAACTGTCGAAGAGGCTGCTGCCGCAACTGCTGCGGCTCTCGCCACTCGACCTGGTAATAACAGACCTAGCAGACAACGTTCCGATGGCGAGTCATATTCAAACAATGGATCTCCAATGTCAACTCCTTCACCAGGCCGACATCTCTCTGCTTCTCCAAGTTCTGACATGGCACCAATGAATGGCATGCAGCGCCACCCTGGTGATTACGGCTACATGAATAACAGCTCTTTACCTGGTCATCTTCGTGGTGATTATGGTGTACCAAGCCAGCCACCACCAGTCTCTACTGCTTTTGCAAATGGTATGCAGCAACAACGACCTACCTCCCACCCAACCGGTTATGGCCCACCAAACATTCTAGAGCCTCCTGCCAACATGGAACAACGTCAACCTGGTAGCGCAAATGGTAGCCCCCACATGACCAACATGGGTTGGCAATCACCATCTCACATGGGATCTCCATCGCATAATAACAACTATGTCTATCCAGACCCTGACCCGTATGGATCTGGCGCAGCGATCGGCCAGATGTATTACCCAAATTCAAATATGAGAAGACCACAAAGCACGGAGCCAGAACAATATGATATGAAGCCAAGAATGGGCGATCTATGGGCCACAGCTCAATGATGAACATATCGTATTGTCTGGAACTTTCTTCCTCTGCCTGCTTTAAACGATTCTCTGGTTTTCATAGTGCTATGGATCTTTTCATGAACTATGTTTGATACCCTGTACACATCACGACTCATTCTTTCATTTCTTTCTGATCGTTCACTCTTGATGTTCGACAGTACTGCATACTATCAAAAAGGCTTTTCTATCTCGATGTTGGCGTTCTTGAGATTCTACTGCGATCTTGTGATTTTTAGGCGGTTTTCTTTCGGTGGAATAAAGAATCTCTAGACATTATGAAGCAAACGACCTTGTTTTCTGATTAAATAACTTCGGGGTTGTGGCTCATGGCAATAATGATGATATTGGTCTCTTACCTTTCACATTCATCACACTTGGTATCAAGTTTCACGGCACCCACTTTCACGTTGGACTGGCTCGCTCTTAGGGCTACACATTTTGGTGTGGGATGTTTGCATTAGCTTTTGTGATAAATTGAGCAGTAGGGCTCAAATTCTTTACTTCTTACTTTATTGTAAAGTAGTAATTCCGGGATTGGGTTGGTCTGGTCTTGTTTGGGGCGAGGGATGGGAGGTGAATAAATTGATGGGCGGGATGCTTGCTAGGAGGCTGCTTTTTTGCTGCATTTGCTGGCGCCAAAATTATGTGTAGAATTGCCACTA